CCCCGCCTCCCCCCGCCGGCCCGCCGGGCTCAGCAGGGCCCTGCCCCGCGGGGTCGCGGGCTCCGAGTCGCCTCTGTCTTCCAGATGGCACCGCAGGGCTCTGCTCCCCTCATCGCCGCTGCCCTCCAGTGCCTCGCTTCCACGTCCACCGCCCAGCGGCTGCCCACATGTGAGCCCTTGGCGGGCTCCCTGCCCTGCTCCCCCTCGTCTCCACCGCCCTTCAGGCAGCCCCCAGGTGTTCCGCTCCTAAATCCGCTGCCCAGGGGTTACGGGGCTGCCCTGCATGTGCCCCCCCCCCCGTTAAAAGCTAGGCATGAAGGCACATGACAGCAGCCGCTTTCTAGACTACCACCCAGAGGCTTGGGGGAGGCGGCAGCCCACTTTGAGCACATGCTCAGCCACCAGACAAAGCTGTCTGCTCTCTGTGGCAGGGACAGACATATCTACCTGGCCTTACGATCGCTACCATATTTTGTGGTGTGTACGTCGCGTTTTGAAGTCCACATTTCGAGTCTTAAAAATCAAACTCAACTTACACACCATGCCACATCAAAAAATAGGGACGGAGCTGGGCTTGGTGCTCAGCTGGCGTGGCCCCATCCCCTGCGAGTGAGGTTGCCTGGGCTGCACCAGCACTGCTTGCAGGGGATGGGGCTGTACCAGCCGAGCCACCAGCCCAGCACCACTCACAACGGATGAGGCCATGCCGGCTCAGCCCCATCCCCTGCAAGCAGCACCAAGTGCCTCCTTCCACAGCACCATTGACAGCAGACAGGGCTAGGCTCGGTGCTCGGCTGGCATGGCCCCATCCCCTGCCAGCCCAGCACCACTTGCAGGGGATGGGGATGGGTGCAGTGGTGCTTGCAGGGGATAAGACCACACCAGCCAAGCTCCAAGCCCAACCCCATCCCTGCCCTCATCCCTGTCCCCCACGAGCAGCACTGGGCTCAGCACCTCTTGCAAGGGACAGGGGCAGACTTGGCACTCAGCTGGCATGGCCCCATCAGCTCCGAGCCCCACTTCTTGCGGGCACCACTTGCAGGGGATGGGGCCACACCAACAGAGCCTGGCCCTGACATATACCATGCCTATGAAAATCCTTACTTTTCAAATCGGAAAGCCAGGGTTCAACCTAGACATACAAAAATCTAGAACTCTTGGTTCGAAAATTATACTTTTTATTAGACCAACTGGAAAGTGGCAAGTTGTCCTTTTCTGCAAGCTTTTGGGATCAAAGTCCCTTCACCAGGCTCTGGGCAAAGTGTAGATGGTATAAGATGGTAAAAATCCCCATAGGTAGGAAATAAACTTAATTTTTCACAGAGGGAGCTGAAGATGGAAGGCTGTCCTTCTGGGTCCATGAGAGTGTGTGAGCTGTGTTGATTCTTTGATGTGTTGATCAAGTACAATTCCTTCCCTGGAGGTATCAGATGGCAGGCAGGGAGGTAAAAAAAACTTCCTTGTTGTTCTGCAATGAAGTTTAAAATCCAAAATCGGTTATACGCTGTGAAACACAATAATTTAAAACTAGCTCCAGTAACAAAGGCAGTAAAGAGGCAGCAGAGACCCCAGCATGAGCTGTACATACTCAGGTTGCTAGCCTGTGTCTGTAGGGCTTTTGCCTTCATCACTCTTGCTACACAAACAAGAGCTTACA